GAGACTTTACAAGATATGACTCGCAGTCAGCACCAGTGGCATGTCTGCTGCCGTCTCTTAGCCGGATTGCTTGTTTAAAGTGTTCTTTTTTGTGCTGAGTTATCTATGGGGTAATGGCTGATTATGACGTGGGGCCGTAAAACCGAAAGGAATCAGTCTTGCCAACGCCACCTTATGTTTGCACGATAGCCAGCTGTTTGTGACGGTATGTTTCCAACACAAGGTGTAGGCGCCTTGACCCTGAATCTTTGCTTAGGGCACTAAGGTTTTCGGGTATTTCACCATTCTTTCCGTCTTATTATTCTTTATTCCTTAGGTTATCATGGTTGTATGGCAGCGAAGCACCAGTTCAAATGACTGACGTACTGTTGTTGTTGCACTTGTAAGAACCACGAAAATGGCAGAGAAGAGAATCTGTAAATATCGGTCCAATTGGATTACCGAAGAAAGGTCTACCAAGGATGCCCTGGCCTGACAGGTGCATTCAATGCTGTCATCAATAGACAATAAAAGAAAACCACGCGCGTCCGCTTTCTTGATTGAGGCAATGCTTTGGACCGCGTAAACTATAAACCGCGGCTGCGCGATTTACGAATCTGGAATCCAACGTTCGGGCCGATGGACTAACTCATCAATGAACGTACTTCCCTCGATTTTTCGGATGTGTTAAGCGATCTAAAGCGTTTTCTGTCACTGGAACGCTTGTTTCGAAGCCTTGTTGTTAATGTGTATGCTCATGTCGATGCGCGCCAAAACTTGCACGGAAAATACTCACTGATGCCAGTTACATGAAGAGGTGTCCACTTTTCGACCTCCACGGAGGTGCACACATTGTCAGCTGAGATGCCTTCTCTCCAATACATATCACATAATGAGCAATGACTTGTTGTTCGCTCGGTTGAAGTACCCGATCAAACGAATTAATAATTAACTGGCAAATATAATCAGTAAAACCATCCATGTCTATGATTTCTAATCTGTTCTCGCTGCCTGTCATTAGTGATAACGTTTTCGTATCATCACTACTGAAGACGTATGCGCAGTAGCTGAATATTCAATCACTCTCGGGTGCATAAAGTGTGTTTAATAAGGTGCAATCACTAATTGGTATAGATCGATAGCAAAGAGTCATCCGGTTACAGTAATCCCAAGGATTTACCGAGCCATAGTTGAATAGGAACGCAGCGATTCTGTGGCTAAAATAACAGAAAGCGCGAAACTAACCTTTTGCATTCGCTGAACGACGTCAGCAACATTGACAACGCGCCCCTCCCGTCGAAGTTGGGAGATGTGCACTAATCCTTCCCAACGCCTGCGCAGGCCATCCAGTTGCACAACAGCGCCAAACGATAGAATATTGGATATGCGACCGGAATAGATATCGCCGACAACCGGCTCTGTAGGCACATCTGATCGAGAAACCCGAGGAGTGACGACTTCGGAATTGGCACGTTCGAGTGAGCCACGACGGGGCACATCCACAGGAGAGGCACGTGAGTAGTGGTGGCCACGTGAACGTGGTGAGCGACGATTGCGAGGCGACCGATAACCCCTCTCGTGATGGCGTGAGGAAGAATGAGGAGATGGCGAACGAGAATGTCTGCGATGAGGGGATCTAAAAACACAAGAGAAAATGCATAAGGCGAAAGAGCACGACGATTTGATAAAGATTCAAGAAAAGAGTTGTGCTCACCTGGAGCGCTTTCGATGTTTATCCGAGAAATCAACAGAAGAGTCTCGGCTTCGACGTCGACCATCAAAACGACCCTTTTCATTCGTAAAGGGTGAGGCGGAGCGAGATTTTGCTCTTTGATCTCTATATGGAAGTATGATGTTAACATGGTGCACAATAAACAGGGAGAATAAAAGAAAGATGGAAATGTGAGATACAAACACCGTAATCGTCAGCCAGGATGAAGTGACAGGCTGCAAGAGTATAAATGGCTAGCTGACTGCAGCATATTCGATGTGTCTAACCGTGATGTGATCAATCAAGAAGACCACATTCAGGAAGACAACACGTATCAAACCAGATCGATCTCACATCAGGTAGCCATACAGCTTTAAGAAGTGCCCAACTGACCCTTTAAAGGATGGAGTTGGTAAAAGAAATTACACACCGGTATTTGAACAGCAGGCATACGAAAGGAAGTGACCTGAGTACTGAGGATTGATCGAATTCAAGAAGCAGTCAATTGCCACACCAGAAACTCTGTGTTAAACAATATATGATGAGCAGTATTGTTGCTCACCCGATGTTGCTGCCAGACGAAAACAGTACCATTCATCATGCGGGGACACTGGACACAAGGCAGTGTTACGCAACCCAAGACCATCTGACATCGACCGGTTCTACGAACTAGCGAATTCCGGAAATGTTAACGTCATAGACGATGTAATCAACCCCAGGAGAAAATTGAGCGATCAATCCAAGTAGATGTCGCTTACTGTTAGAGTCAATGACGTTTCAGACCAGATCCGAAAAGGACATATATCTCGAATGTGCGAAACATACACCGAAGCTTGTGGCGCTACGCCCAAACTGATCCAGCGGAAGTTGCGTCGCAACTTGATCTGGCTCAAAGATACCTGTTCTCAGCGTAGTTTAATTGTAATGATGGATGATACAACAGAGGATAGGAGAGAAGATATACTACTGAGTAAATAAACCAAAAATTTATGTGGAAACGGAAAGAACGAATGGCGTAGCGAGACCCGCTTGAAGTAACAAACTAGTTTCTTGCAGGCTGGCTAGCCGAACAACCACAACGTGGCGCCAGCTGGGTGGTCCGGGTTAATTCTATTCCAGCAAATGGTTCGGCGGTAGTGTTCCAAGACGTAGTGGGTTTTCGCCTGGTAAGTGTTCTCTCTATGAAAAGTCACAAATGTCTGTTTAACAACACTGTGACGTGGCGGATATGACTCGCCACTAAGTAAAGTCACTGCTTGCTGCCTTTCCGGAGGATCTTACTCCACTCACGGACGTTAGCCAATGCGAAGATATTAGTTGATCCCTTCCTATGTTAGTGAATTCATCGAACATAACCCCAAATTCAGAACAACAGTAACAAATTCACTCAACATGATTACTAACCCATGCACTTAAATATAAACATAAAACCTAACTCTATTACGTACTGGTCACATAGTAAGACTTGTGATAAGTACTGCATATACGCTCTGTAATACTATAATCATGCCTTTTTAGGCATGTCCCGCAATTTTGGGAATAAAACAGTTATTTATTTATACGAATAGCGAAAGTTGTGGAATAAAGAGTAGAAAAGAAAACCACTGACAAATACTTTAACTAGAATCATCAAAGGAGGTCACGAAGTCGGGAAAGATAGTCGTGATGAATGGTATCTATGTATGACACTGCTCAAGTATCTATCGAGGTATAGAAATGTATTCACTGCAACATCGGCCGAAAGGAAACCACCTGCTTTTGTTGACTTGATCTACATGAGAGCCAGATGAGTCGTCAGGAACATGATGTGCAAGAATAGTTTTGAAGTAATGGTGAAACACGAAGTCCCCTTCAACATACTTTAAATTTTGGAAGTATACTTAAGGTGATAATCTCCTTCAGGAAAAACAGGATTGGGTGGAAAAGCCATACTAGTCAGCAGTAAATAGTCACCATCTTTTAAAAACTGTAGAGGGAAGTTGTCAGCGTAAAGCAGTATTGGGTTTTTGCAGCACGAACTCGGGCCGGATTTCACCGAATAGGATGGGATCCGGATGTTCCAGGTTGGTTGTTGTTCTGAACTAACTAACAACTGGCAGAGCGACTGGATTGAAATGTTCGAATAAACGTTCAAATAGACGTAATTGAATGAATCCATCATCTAGCTCTGTCGGTGATTGTCTCGTTAGAAGAAGCCTTTCTTAGGCTCCTGCGCTGAGGCAGCATGTGCCTTTGTCTAAATAACGCTGACCAGTTCTATAGCAAGGGCCCTCGCCGTCCACCAACGGAACTCGTCAATGCGCTGCATTGCATGGCTGAGAATTGAAATTCTATCGTGTCAACCCCATCCAGAAATGTGACCAACAGCAACCCGAACTAGCCCTTCACTGAGTGATTCCATATTCGTTACAATTTCGTCGACTGATCAACTGGGCGTTTCACGAAAGTGCAAAGCTGCGGCGAATATATATACAGAGGCAATCGGTCTGCAGATAGGTGGAACACATGACCAGTTCAGTGGAGGCGATTCGAATTCAACGAACATACCACAAATACATCATAGGACCAGCTGATAAACTTCAGCATCCCTCACGCGGTTGGCTTACAAAACATGAACAACACCGTGCAAGCATCAATGGTCCGATACGGCCTCCGATGTATGCAGTAACGAGTGTAGTAATGTAAACCCTGCCTTACCAATAAGTCTACATCTTGCCGTCTAGATTAGATTATGAAAAACCATAATAGCCATATTAGTGGGTGCAGTAGCCCCCTCGATGTGATCATTACAGATAATAGTTACCCAAATCGATCATGAATCCGAAGAATGGTAATGTGTCAGAACAGTCTTGGAACAGTAGTTTGAACATGTCAAAGCGCAATGTGTCGATTTATTCAGTACAGCTACTAAGGAGAAAAAAATCCGACATAAAGGGAGCTTTGCAGACAGCATCGCCCACCAGACAAAACTTTTACTCTGGAAATTTAAGAAGCCAGAAGAGAAACATTCAGGAGCATTGCTATTGCAAAATGGAAGAGAAAGGAAGAGACAGGATAACCATGATTTAGCCCATTAACAGTGGTGAACTCAAAGGAGAATTTCCCATAGATCCTCACACGGTTACTCGAATGGTAGGATAGAGAAGTTGGATCAGGAAAGAGGCATCAGCAGTAGGCCGGTGAGCCGTGCCGACGCTTCGCTGCTGGGCTATCACCACTGCTCACGCAAGGGCTAAGGATAATGCGACGGTCATACGATTCTCTACGCAAGTTCGAACCAGCGACATTCGGGTTGCAACGCTGTGTCCTTTTGGCCAAGGATCGATAACGTTAGGTGAAGGCGATAATATTCAACTGCACTCTTCAAATTTAAGCATCGTTGCAAATGAGCATGATCAAGCGAAAAAAGCATTATTTAGCTCAAAGAATATTAACACGAAAGGTTGTTTGCAAGCATGGTGACATTCAGGAAACTAGCGAATAAAATGTGGCCAATACAACCACTGCCAGCCAAACTTTCAATGATTCGACTAGCAAGATGATCAGCAAGAAAGCCCAGTATGGTGCATATCAGTAGTTTGGAGGTAACTGAGACCAAACCGATAGCAAAAGAAATTTCTTAGGACGTTTTTTAGACAGTCTTAAAGATGGTAATGGCCGTCGGTAAGTGTTTTCTTCGTGTGTCAAATAATGTCGAGCAGACCAACCAAAGTAGTCAGTAAAGCGTCGCCACCTTCCAGCAGTAACTAACGACAGTAGACCGTCGTCAGGTGCTTTGTTCCGCTACAGCAGTAACAGCTCGTGCCGGGTCTCGTCGACAATGCTTGTTATGCCAACGTCTCTGGTGGGTTCAGGTGACCAGACTGAACTTCTGTTACGTAAGCTAGGCTGACTTGCTCCTTAAAGTGCTCAATGCATAGTTTCAAAAGACGCGTAGAAAGAAAAAGAACGATATCAGCAGTACGCCGTGCCGACGCTTCGCTGCTACGCGATCACCACCAGCCGCGCGACGGCTGGGTGTACAACGAGATCGCCTGCAGTTACGCGGAATCGAATCGGCAAACTCAGAATTACAGTGCAAGCATGCAATCCCTTCGGCCACCGGCCAACTCTAAAAGACGTGACGGACAATGAGTCAAACATCTGCCTCTCTAAGCACAGTTTTACTAACGAGAACCATAGGTGAACCGGCGCATAGAATGTAGTTTGGAAGATCATCTAGTGTTCGCAGTAGCAATAGCCTTTTAACTCTCGCGAATCCTCGCCATTCACCATTAACCCCGGTGAATTTTCAGACTCCCATTCAGACATCTTGGGTGTTAGGAACGCTATTGGTGGAACCGTCCTATCAGTTCAATCACGCTAATCAAAGCTTCAGAAGTACGCCCAGTACTAAGATAAAGATAAGTGGACAAGCATCTGGAGCGTCTGGGGCAAAGTAGAAAGTACCGCCCAGTGTAGCTTAAGATCCCTGAGATATACAAACCATTGCATCACTGCAGGCATCAGCCACGTCACGATGGGAATAGATACTACAACTCAGTTTTCTTGGAGAGGAACAACAAAAGTAACACAACTAATTGTTACATCCCGGAAATGCACATCGTCAATTTGAATGACGAGGTGCTAGCAGACAAGCACTAAACAACACGGACGAAAGTTCGTAGAAACAGCGAGGCAAAGCCACAGCCCTTTCGGTCACTTGGATTAAGCAGCTCTTCGCCTATAAAATGAAAACAACCACCACCTACCTAACATAGATGGCCGGAATAGATAACTAGATCTAGTTATTTAATGGAAACCAATGTGAGAAGACAGACGAATAGTAATAATCATAATAATTATTATAATAATAATGTGGCAGCTGTACCCAACACGACGCTTCGCTGTCGCACGACCATCACCAGTTGCGCGAGGGTTGGATATACCACGAGAACCCCCAGGCATATACGGATTCGAACCGCGGACCTTATGGCTGCAAACTAGGTGCGCAGATCACTCGGCCACCGGCCGACGCAACAGACGACCAAGCGGAGGGTTTCAGGCGAATTAACAATCATATTCGAATGCAGCGGTGTTGAATGGATGTTTAGTTTCGCTATATAACATGTTTGTTATATTGTAGGCAAAAATGTGTAGAGCCAAAAACGAAACTAACGGGGATCACAAGAGTAACCAGAAGATAAAGTAGAAATCAAATGACGCGTTCCCTAGTGGCAAGTAATAAATAAAGGTGATGCAGCTAAAAACACCAGTAATAAATAAGCCGGATCGAACAAACCTTTTAGTATGCTTGCGATGAGATGAACGATGTTCTTTCATAGATTCCCTAAGAAGATTAGCCAAATAAAAGTGTAACGCACTCTTTGGCCCCGGAAAGCAATTCCTCTAAGTTTTTCAACATGGCCGAGGCAGTTAGATCATCAGAAACCGTCTTTTCACTGGTCTGCCTCAATCCATTAGTCATGGTATGATTTTCGCCTGAGGGTGAGGAGGGCGAGACGTTGGCAGCTTTCCGAGTTTCGTGTAATTCCAGCTGCGATTCATCCCAAATCTGGAGTAAAAATTGTAAAAATTGAATGAACTCACGACTTTCCTGGGATCCTCATTAGGAAGACAGAGGGCTGGAACAAGCTTCTTTCGTAACTCCAGCTTCTCATCAGTTTGCTTTTGATCGGGCAGAACGGATACATCTGTTCCGGGTAACGAACTAAAAGTATCGGTCTTCTTTGGTTTCTTCGGAAACATTTTTTGGACTAATCGCAGTATGCTAGCGATTAGAGAATCCTGTACAAGTCGAATAATAACAATTAAAGAGCTTACACTGAATTCTGCACCTTTCTTCAATAAAGAGGTCTTAAACTTTTCAAAAGTCGGATTTTTCCGCGCTAAGTGAATGACAAATTCAGCTAGAATAAAGCCGAGAATAAGTAACATGGCATGAACGAACTTACACAGATTTCTATCATCCAAACCTAGATGGTTCGTCAGCTCTGTGCACACTTTGGATACGAGAGAATAGTACTCCAGTTGATAAAAAGACTTTTCCTCCTCAACAACCATGGTGAATTTAAGACTAAAATCAAAGTGCAGTTTCAGCATTAATTACAAAATGCTAAATACGAACAATGGCGGCATACCGAGCAAGTGAATACTCAAAAATGAAGGTGAAAACAACACCAAGTCCGCAGCGTTTAAATCGTATCAGCTAGTTTGCAGTCACTGAGCAAATCATGCCACTGGTTCCTCCCTGTTCCGATTTGGTCAGAAGGGCAGAGCAAATACTAGTGAAACCAGTGTAGCACCGGTTCTTGTATTTCTAATCTAGGCATTGATATGTGGGAATTGTTTCGTTCATAATAATCAGAAACAGTGGTCCAAAAATTAAAGTGCGATAGGTTACCAGCCATTAAATACAGTACCAGAACGATAATAAGCAAATAAAAAGTGAAATAATGAGAATAAAAAGCCAACAGAAAACGAGTGTAGAAGTTCTTCAGATGAAACATGAGAATTCGGAATGGGAACAAATACAGGTGCGAGGTGTAACATTTAAACGGGTAGACAAGAAGCGATGTATAATGCAGAAAAGGTTAAGCGAAACAAAGTGTCAAACTAATTTTCCAACAGTTCCAGAGCAATAGGTTCATCTAGACAGACAGCCGCTGCAAGCACCTTCACACGGTCTAAAATTTAGCCATCCGCAAAAGAAATACGATCGTTTTAAAATAGAAACCCAGTTTGAACATCTACTAAAGCAGACGAACGACTTGGTGGCAAATTCTAATATGAAACTTGAACAGTTCAAATCAACTCTGGTCAACGTTTCATTTTAGTACCAAAGACAACCAACAGAACACCATCGACTACTGACAAAATCACACAGTGATGCCGTGAGAGAAATGAGGATCTCATCATAACCAAACCAGACAAAGGATCTGGGACTGTGCTGATGGATCGTGCCGATTACATAAACAAAATGAAAAGGATACTTTCGGATACTTCACGTTTCGTGAAAGGTGCACAACAAAAAGATAAAACGGAATGAGTAGAAAGCCAATTGGTCAGGTGTTTGAAATCACAAATGAGTGACGGCGCCATCATCAAAGAAACGTATGACCAACTTTGTCCCATAGGCTCCATCACTCCTCGCCTTTATGGGCGCTCAAAAATACACCACTGAGACCCACACTAGATATGAGGAATTCGCCGTATCACAACATTGCGCAATGGCTGACAAAATGCCGAATTCTATCAGGCAAATGATTGCTCCTCATAGACTGGCAGATACATTCCAGTTTGTCAAGGAAGTTCGAGGTATGAATGTCCAAGAATATCGGATGTTTTGCTTAGATGTTATTTCATTGTTTACCAAAGTGCCTCTGACAGAAACGGTTAACTACCTATGCTCGTACACTGACCAACATGACATAAACAGCGGAATACTAACCAACCAAGTGAAACAACTGATACTCAGATGTACCTACAACGTTTAATTTCAATTCAATAGCGAGTTTTATAGACAGGTTGATGGCATTGCAATGGGATCTCCACCGGGTCCATTGTTAGCGGATATTTATATGGGAATGCTAGAAAGTGGTCCATGGCAAGTCATATCGGGTCTGAAATTCTATCGGCGTTATGTAAATGAGATAGTTTGTATGTGATCGGACCACCAAACCCCAGGATATAATCGACTGTTTCAACAATGCCGCATTTACAGCCGAGGAAGAAAACACTAAGCAAATGAATTATTTGGACACAAGCCTTATCAGAAGAACCGACGGATCAATCCAAAAAAGTATACAGAAAACTATATTGGATGGGAGAATACATAAACTTTCATAGCTTCGCACCACTCAGCCAAAGAAAAACACTGGTGTGAACAATAACCGAGCAAGCATACAAAGTCTGCAGCGAAGACACCATAAAAGCCAAACTCGTACGAATCAAAGAAACACTTCTCGAAAATGGATATCCGGAGCGATTTGTCGAGTCCCATACGAGGCGATGCATACCAAAAGTGTCAAAACAAACCGTTGAAAAGAAACAGCTTTATCTGACTCTTCCATTAAAAGAAAATAGTGTGGCTGAGATATGCCCGCGTTGACTACAGCAAAGCTGCACAAAGACCTTCAATACGGCTCAACTGAATGTGATTTTCACGAGCAGACCTTTAATAGTTCCGAGATTCAAAGACCGAGTGTTTGATCATCTCCAATCAATGTTAATCTGCCGGTTCATCTGCCCGTGCGAGGTCACGTACATTGGACGGATGACAAGGCATTTAGGTTAGAGAATTAAGGAACACCTCTCAGGTTGGCTCTACGATCGCGAGAATAGGACAAACTACAGCGCGATTACGAACCATTTAATTGACACACGCCACCAGATAAACAAACATCCTTTCAGATTCTCCACAGAATACCACCAAAGCATAACCATCGTGTAAGAGCAAGCCTACTTGTCACCGCTGAGGTAGTATGCATACGCCTGACAAACCCGGATTTGTGTCTCCAGAAGATGATACAAACACTACAGCTTCTGTGGCCGACCACCAGACGGGAAGGTGGTGACGGCACTCCGCAACTCCACCTGACTTCAGTTATGTGATCAGATGACTGCCATCATGAACACAAGTTAAATTTGCTGATCAATCGTTTCTTTGTTATGTTGACGATTGCCACAGATCTTACCCTAATGTATGGTATTGTACGAGCCCGACGAAGGATTGAAAACAATTTTTCGCTTAAAGCTTCGTGTTTTGTTTCTCTTTCTGCACTTGACGAAATACAGGAGGGACAATGACTTCGCGACTGCAACGCGTACACGAGTTGGACGGTCGAAAGGATCTGACGTGACATCCTTCTATCACTGCATCGCGTTCTTTCGCAAAGCTGTTGGTTGGTCCCCTTGAAGTTTCGGCAGAATTTGTCCCTTATTCGTAGGAAATACGAGTGGAGATGTGGCCGGCAAGCAGTCGGTAGAGATAATAAGAGCCACTGCCATGATATGCCTAACATAGTTCAGCTCAGTATCACCAGTCGGAGGATGTCGGGGGTACGAATTGGGCGGAACTCCAAAAAGCGGCAATATTTTAGGACTCGTCAACATCATTATGCCCATTAGCTAGAGTTGAGAAAACACTCGTTATTG